GCACATGCATGCATACCCAGTTGTCAATGGTGGAAATACCCTTGGGCGTAGGCGTGATGCTGAGCACCACTGTATCGTAGTACACTGCGCGCAGATACTTGCGAACACTGGGCTCCACACTGAGTTCCTTCACAGCGATGTTCATGGCCCCTCTTAAGACCAGTTTATAACTTGAAAAGGCCGCCGATTGGTAATCCGTGGCTACTTCGTCTGGGTCTCGATCGCTAGTGGGCGGGAAGTGAATCTGCGATCGTGCTGTAGGGGTAGGTAGGGTAGGTAAAATGTAGGTAAAAAGACATGCCACAAGTAGATTCATAGGTCATTGAGGTACATTTGACAGGCTACGTTGCCTGGATTTGCTAAGTAATCAGTGTGTACTACATCAGAGGGCCGGTCACGAACTGAGGACAATGTGAACATGGGCTGCTACCTACATGCTGCACTTGAGCCTACCAAAGTTTATTCCAAAACACCACCTTTTTTTATATAAAATAATGTTTCGATGGAGGGTATGTACGGCATTTTGAACAGCATGGCTGATACAGACACACTAAAGCCAAAGCTAAAACAAAGACGCATAGTAGCGTACATGAATAACAACAACCACACACCTCTGACATATATGACACACACACCTCACATACGCAACAAATCAGTCCCCACGCCGTCTGTCGCCCGACAGCTGCAATTCAAGTGCCATTCACTTTGTTTTCATCAATACGCACAAGGCATCGGCAGAACCATCGGGCGTATATGATATAAACAGCGAGTGGAATAGAATAGAACACAAATGGTACAAAGCAGCATATAAACCCAGGAGGTAGATATGGGTCCACGCATAACAACACAGATGGTATAACTAGGAACACACATAAGAACCCAAATAGTATAATTAGGAACACATAAGAACCCAAATAGTATATTTGGGTACACGCATAACAACACAAATAGTATAATTAGGAACATGCATAAGAACCCAAATAGTGTATTTGGGTACACGCATAACAAAACAAATAGAATAATTAGGAACATGCATAAAACCCAAATAGTATATTTGGGTACACGCATAACAACACAAATGGTATAAATAGGAACACACATAAGAACTCAAATAATAATTGAGTACACGCATAAGAACACAAATAGTATAATTAGGAACACACATAAGAACCCAAATAGTATAATTAGGAACACACATAAGAACCCAAATCGTATAATTGGGTACACGCATAAGAACCCAAATAGTATAACTAGGAACGCACACAACAACCCAAATCGTATAACTGGGTACATACCGTTCAAGTTTTCTCCAAACTGTTGGGCCTTTAAGCAACACATATCCACCAACGCCTGCAAACCGTTTTCCTTTGCGATTGTGCGGACGTCTCTTCCTTTGCGAGCAATGCGCCTGCGGGTGCGGTAGAGAACATATATACGTTAACGTATTGAGCCACACGGATTCCCACACATGACGGATTAAGGCCCCCACATTCGATAGTTCAGCTTTGGCGTATTTTATATTCCGTTGGGCACTGAACAAGCAGTGGATGGATGGATACAGCTCCTCGCACGGCCGGGGATAAGCCTCCGATAAACCTCCCCAATGTATATGCACACGGACAACACCTTCACTGAGCTTCTCAAGTGTGGTCACTCCCCATCAATACACTCACTCGTGTACTCATGACCCACCCAACTGTGTGTATGACTACTACTACCATAAGTCTGTTCACGCACACACCTGCCGTCCTTGGCTGCCAGAGCCTCCAGTTCATTGCGGCATCTGAATTGTATGTAGCCGTTGGCGTCATGCAGAGTCTCTGTGGTGCTCAGTAGCTTCAGCTCTTCCAAGTAATCGTCGGTCAGTTCCAGGTCTACGGGCTTTCCGTCCTGAGATAGGTGTGTGTGTGTGTGTGTGTGTGTGTGTGTGTGTGTGTGTGTGTGTGTGTTGTGTGTGTGTGTGGTGTGTGTGTGTGTGTGTGTGTGTGTGTGTGTGTGTGTGGTGTGTGT